AAATAATAGCTTTTAGCTCTATGTGCTCCTGATTGTTTCTTCCCATGTTGTTCTTGTTTTTATTGCTGTTGTAGCTTGTGTTGATTTTTGGTATAGTATGTCTTGTTGACTTAATTTTAATGGGGTTTTATAGTAGATTTCCAAAGAAAACAAAATCTCAGCGTCAAGTACTTCTGTTCGGTGGCGACGTTGAAGCGCCGTCATACCGTATTTCTCAACGTGGACAAGTAAATTCGGCCTCCATCATCCAGTTCGGTTTTGTCACTTAATCGGAACGGAAAATTTTCACTTTATTAGCATTTGTGCGTACAATTTGATAGTTTCTATCAAATTCAATCAAATCTTCTCAGTGAAAAAGTTATTCGACTTCATAATTTTGAGGAACAGATAGTTTTGATCAAATAATATTCCCAAAATGAGTTCGGTTATGGTAAATAATATAATAAATTATTATATATAAATATTAGAAACTGGGATATAGTCGGAAAATGCTCATAATATAAAATCAGTTAACCTGTGGACTGTGAAACTAATATATTAATATAAGTTTATTTGTGGAGAATATATATATAAAAAGAAGTAAAACCTTTATCAAAATAAGCAAAGTTTTATGCCAAATTAAAAATTAAATGGAATAGAAGCCTTTTTCAACTTGGATATAAAACTTTCTTAGACTGATTCGCTTTAAAAATTTTGAATAAAATATATTGGAAGTTTTATTTTAATTTATTTAATTAAATTAAACAAAAACTGCATCAACTTAGGAAGTCATTCACTATAATTAAGAATACCAATTTTATTTATTCAATTATTAAGCTACCCTTGAAACCCTGAAAATAAATTTTTTTCCTAATAACCAAAAGTAATGTGATTTATAAACATTATAAAGGTAAGATAATAAAGAGTGTGGGAAAATTTTGTACTCAAAATAGAAAGGAACACCTTTAGAATTTTATTTTTTGACATTATATCCTTTTAAATCCACACATATTTTCAACAATACCGCAAATTCATTAATCTAGTTACTTATGGCTGCTTTATCCATTCCTTCGACACAAACTTCCTCTTCCTCTTTTTGAAATAAAAAACAATCATTGAAATTTAGATCTAATGAATAAACTATATAATCAATGAATTAAAAATGTAATCCGCTAATATTAACTATTTGAACTGCCGCAGGGTGAGTAAGTGCATTGTTTTGGTAAAAGAAATCTTTTTGCTTTCTCGTTAGAGATGTGTTTCTGTTATTAAATTATCCAGTAACGCTACGTCACCTGATTCAGTAATTGCGTGAGCCCTTTATATACTTAGTCAGAAACACTGTTTGTTATTTTAAGAAACACTAGTGCGATCGTTAAGTCTACGTCTTCGTTGGAGGTCTTCCACTTTTTTCAATCCTAATGTTGGATCTATGTTGCATCAGTAATAATAAATCTGTTTAATTGAGCCTCAAACACTTAGAAATGATTGTGTTTTTGTTACAAAGTCAATATATATGTCATACAAAGCGTTCAAGACCTTTTCAAACTGAAATATTCATGTAATACTGATTGGCGAAATGTCGATAATCAAAATGCACTCTGCTTTACATAGCAATCTGATTTTAATTCAACGATTATCAAAGTTATGAAACATTTTTCGATGTCTAAGTGTTTAGCAGTAACTCTTGATCGTCCAGAACGATATTTATAAACTATGACTTAGCTGATACAACTGCATTTGAATTTAGCTAATATTCTTTTTACTATTATATGTAGTGAGTTCTTATTCACAAAATTTTGTGTGGCCTTTTGTAAGAACACAGAATTTATTAGTTTTTTAGAAAAAGGGTTAGGCGACTTAAGTGTTACCAACTACTCAAAGGTATATCTGTCAAACTGATATGGTCAACTACAACAAATTAGCATGAATGATAGGTGTTTATATTATTCATAAGCTACCACAAGCATTGGCGTCGCGTTTAAGTTTTATCAAACAAAATTTATTCGAAATAGAATTCAAACTTAATAGTGTGATTGCGATGTATTTGGCTGGATATCGTTTAAGTCGAAAAGTTCCAAAAAACAGAAGATCTGTGTTGCACACCAAAGTAAAAAAAGTCCAACTCGAAAGAGGAAAGGAGTATCGTTCGTCTCGCTTGCACGGCCGTTACGAATTTCCAAATATTGTGTTCGCTGATGAAAAATATATCCCCGTTGAGTAAGCAGCTCATAAACTCTCAAAATGATAGTCCATTGTCATTCACTGCCATTTGAGACTAGGAATGGCCACTCGAAGTAATTTTTCAACTCAAGAAATTGTATGGGCAGCTCTCTAATCGTACTGCCGATGAACGCTCTATGTACAATCATTTTCATCGACCCTGGTGTCAAAGTCAATGCGACTTATTATCATGAAAATGTTTTGGAAGTTGCTTTAGAGCCGTGGGCATGGAAACATTTCAGTCGTAGACCATGAACGTACCAAGACTCGGCACCGGTTTCGGTCTCATAAAGCTTGTGTGCACCAATAATGGTTAAAAATTCATGTTCCACACTCCATTTCGTCTACACAATGGATTTCAATTTCTATCCACAAAGGAATAATGTTTATTATTAAATATTAATATACACTACTATGATATTCTTTGAACATGTCTGGGTTTATAATATTAAGTATGCTTTTCCTGTAAAAAATTTAAGGGCCGATTTAACAATAAATTATCATTCACAGTTCTACAATTAATTTTTAAGTGGCATTATTTCTAATGTTAATATCACAATGTTACTAAACTAAACGACCCACCTCAATATTTTTCACTATTTTATCATGGCATCAATGCCACTTTGAGAAGAGACACGAATTCTTATTTCTTGAAAGGAAAAATCACAAATCTTGGTTTTAACATATGTGGCGAAGAAATATGTGTTGTATTGCAAAAGCAATACCCTGCGTGGTAGAGCGGGCGTTACAATGGCCTATACAGCATTTAAGGCCTTGGAAATTACCGGAAATTGTCAGGGCCAATTTAAACAAGTATAATTAATATTAATAACAAATTGTGCAAACAAAATCTCTGTATCGGTCAATGTTCTATGTGATGTAATATAATTCAGCTCATGTATCGCACCAATGTCGGTCTTAGCTGTACTGGTCGACGGCTAACTTGTCGATATCATTGTACAGTGTTTTTATTGCTCTCCTCTTATCAAATGTACCCATTCAAGTACACGTTCTTTTATTAAAAATGCTGTTAGTTAGGTTCAATATATTGCCATTGGGAAGTCCACACGGCCAAACAATTCTGTACCTGTTTAAAAATAATTGTAAATTGCAGTAAATTTTAGGTTTCCAAGTCTGTCAATCATAAATTGTTGTTGAAACGTAGAGATCTGTGTGCACTGATATCTCTTTCATATTACATATTGTTTTTCAACCATAAAAATATATAAAGTTATTATATAAAAAAGTAGAGTTTACTTTCTTGCAATATAACCGATTACTTACAATATATATATTATAACAGTTTATTCTTCAGTTCATACTTCGTACTAATTTCCTATCCACCTTATTTATTAGAGTTGGCCCTCAGATCTTACAAGGATTTTCAGGAAAATATATTTTACTCTAAAAATGTAGTCATATCTAAAACAAATATTTACTTTAAAAATAATGATAAATCATATTATAATTCCGACGTTATAGAAGCATTAGAATTGATTGTATTGTTATTGAAGAACTTTATATTGAAACAAAAAATCGATCTTGAAAAAAAAGTTTATTTTGAATTCCTAGTCTTGAAACTCATTTCATTTTCTTTTTTACGATTCACTCTATTTGGTACTTAGGGTTTTTACAGAGCTTTTGAATCTATTTCAATTCGGATCTGTGTATTATATACATCATTCACTGTGTATCATATGGAGACATTTTCAGCATTGAATATAGGGCCGTAACAAATAACTTCCACTCGGTACGATTGGTGGCCAATAGCTTCAACTGTCCCAGCCTTTTCGCATGTGTGACATTTCCGTGTCGGTTTGTCTTCTCCAGTTGAGAGCAGGTCTGCCGCTTCTTCTGTTACGAGATACCTTACTTTTAAAAGTATTACACGTTTACTTTCCCTATTAATAGAAATTTTGGATGGAACTGACAGAGTACGTCAGTCTCCCTTCAAGTCTTTATCATATATCTGGATAAATGAATTTGTCGATTTACAATATCCACAAGACAGTAATTATATTCTAATTCTCAAATCGGTTAAGGAAGCATGCAATATATAATAGACAATAATTGTATTATAATTTTTAAATCGGTTAAGCATGCATTTTTGTTTCAGGGCATTAGGTCTTTTAGACGGCTGATCACTGATTACTAATATAATTGAGCGATTTATTAGAACATTCTCTTGGATGTGAACAAATAATGTTTTGTACTTATTAAATTCAAGCAATATGTTGTTGAGACATGCAACATCATCGAGGTCCAGAATAAATATTATTCGGAATGTACTGAATGATGTCTTATATTTAAACTAATTACTTTACAGATCACATATAGTTTGAATGTAGTGCGACAAATCAATTTGAGATTGTTCTTGAATAAAAAAATTTGCAATTGAAGACCCTTAAGTTGTTGGTTCTAAAATATCAAGAAATTGTGATTATTACTGTTTATGATAGTGTAAATATATAAATATATGATTATATAAACCGATTTGTTGATATAACAAGTGAATTCGTAAGAAAGCGGCAATAATTTGTGACAGAACCGCTCGAAGGTCTTTTGTCGAAAGTACTTTACACTTATTTGCCAATAAATTTGATACATAAACATGGCAATTGCAAACTACAGCAAACATTGAAATCAGCTATAAAACTTAAGATAATTTTAAATTTTCTTTTAAAAATTTCATGTATTAATATTATTTTTTTACAAATATTTCGAGTGCAGAAGCCTCAAGAGTGTTTCTACTCACCAACAATTGTTTTCGTTGCTTTCATACTTACAAGAAAAAGTTGTGCCCCGTCAAACGTCACCACATGCCATGGGAGGTGAAAATGGAAGACACTTTTAAAAATATTAAAACATTTAAATAGACATCTTCAACGACTAAGAATACAAAAAAATGTTTTTCATGAAAGCAACTAAAATCTCTATCATTGCTGATCTGTGCAACATATGCAGCAAACGATGCGTTGCAGTATCTTTGCCAAGAAGTCAGCGAAAGGCAACCAAGTGCCGCTGATGGAGCCATGAGTTATTGTTTTGCTTTCACCTATTTGCTCTTATTTGTTGCTGAATATACGAGGGAAGAGCAATAAACTTTATAGTTTCAAATTAGATATATAAACTGAATAATACTGTTAATGAAATACTTACTTATATCGTACATATTATTTGTTAAGGTGTATGCATTTATTAAGAGAAAATAATAAATTCAACAAAATTTAGATATCCAAATAATAATGAAAATTCTATCTGCCGCACTTATTACAACAATTTTTTAATAACTAAATAATGTTTCTTATGGCTTGTGTTGGGTATCTCTATACTACGCTCCTTATTGAAGTTCTTCTGGTCTACGTATGAACAGTACTAATCCGTGGTATCACAACAGGCTATTATTTGAGCTCAAGTAGGCTTTAGTGTACAAGGTCACCACTCCAACTTAACCTATTTTAGACATCTTTTTAGTGTATTATTTTCATTATAAATAATAAGATTCTTTAGAAAATATATAGAAATTGGGTTTGATTCCATTTTAAATAATCTCTTATATTATGGTTTTCTTCAATATGTGTTAAAAGCAATTAGTTTTCCAGATCAAGAACAACGTCTTTTTTATGCTAGAGAGAAATTCATTCTAAAGAAAAATTCTTTATATAATCTTGATATGAATTATTATCTGTGAATTTAATCATCTGACACAATAATAAAATTATAATATGTTGATATTATGCATAGGTAGTTAAATATAGTCTATTGATATAGTTGAGCTATATCAGTAGACTATATATATAGTTGAGTTGAGCTGATGTTCACATATGGGTTAATGTGTTATAGAGATCTATCGAAATGAAATCACTTTATTAGAATTTAATGTTATATTTAAATAAAAATTGTGATATCCTGTATTAGATTTATATTTTACACATATTCAAAATTATTTTAGTTCAGATCTTTCTATGCCTTCAAGCTTTAGATTTCGATTTTGAGATTACTTGCAGTGTTCTTCTTCTTATATTTAAGAACGTATTCAGATTTTATTTGATTTCATTTTTGTTTTTGGTAATTAATACCTTACAAAACTAGAAACTTACTCTAACGCAACTTGTGGGTGTTGTGGGAAGGAGTATGTGATCAAAAAACTCGTGCTCGAAGTTTGACGACATTGATGCATATATAAGAGTAATACTTAGTTGCGAAATTTATTCAAAGAAATAAGATATTGTGAAGTAGGTTCAACACAAAAATTTGACGAAAAAATCTTACATGCCGAAATATTATGAATCCATTAAGACCGCACAACAGTTTACTAGGTTGCAGTGCAAGATTTTCCAACGCAATAATATTAATTGTCATTTCTAATATACCATGAGGTGTTTGTTTTCCCATGGTAGTACTTTTGGTTCGCATTATTTCCACATTTGATTTTAATGAAATTCCCAATAGTTCTATATCGAGAACT